TTAATGACAGCAAACTCATCTTTATTCCAGAGCGGATAATTCGAAATTGAGTAATTCCATTTGTACAATGGATGGTTGACAATGGAGAGGTTGACAACCTCTTACATGCATGCGAGTTCTGCATGATTAAAAAATTTCAAAAAAAAGTGGGTCCCTCCCATTGTGAATGTTGGTAATCCAACATTGTCATCCTCACATGGTTGTTCTAAATTAACAAGGAAACGATTATTTATCAACATTATTNATATATAGCAAGAAATGTACCAATTTCTCCAAATGAAAAAGAAAGAGGAAAAAGAAATAAACCAGTTTCTTTATTAAAAAGTAAAAAAATTTAATCAAAGCTTTACTTTCCACCAATTATCTTTTAATTTAATCTACATTAATTCATCACAAGCAGTGATCCTCACGTGAAAGAATAAAAGATAGAATAAAAGGAAAGGGCAAAAAACATATCATAATTAATGACAGCAAACTCATCTTTATTCCAGAGCGGATAATTCGAAATTGAGTAATTCCATTTGTACAATGGATGGTTGACAATGGAGAGGTTGACAACCTCTTACATGCATGCGAGTTCTGCAAGATTAAAAAATTTCAAAAAAAAGTGGGTCCCTCCCATTGTGAATGTTGGTAATCCAACATTGTCATCCTCACATGGTTGTTCTAAATTAACAAGGAAACGATTATTTATCAACATTATTAAAGCCTCAAGCCGAGTGAGAAACCATAGCCTATCTCCTAAAGCACATCCACTTGCACAACATAGATTCCAGTAGAATATGAAAAACTTAGAATAGAAGCAAACAATTTTGGTACATGTTTTTCAAGAATATAGGTCCAAAAATGGCCTGTTCGTTCCAATAATCAAGATTTTCTTCTCAATTTTCGATACTGTAAGTCATGGGGAGGAAGACATAGTACTCGATGGGTAATGGCCAATATCATTTGTTCAGATTCAAGAGCCAATCTATTTCCATCTATCTCTGATGTCCAAACTTGCATTCAGATTTTCTTTTACGAGTTTTTGGTAATTCTAGAGGTTGCATCTGAAATTCATCGCTATGTCCACTCTCTCATTCCCGGCATTAATAAAAACTCGTGGCAACAGAGAACCACAAAGAAGGGTTGGGCTCGTCACGCTTTGAGTCCTTCCGGTAGATGTTGGAGCTAAGACTCAAAAGATCAATTTCTAATAAGCTCATTTCTATGGCCTGGCTTGGGAAGCAAAAGGCCAGCCAAGCATTTTTGGCTCGACTTGAGAAAAGAGGAGTACTTTCTTAGAAAACAAGTAAAGATTTCCAGAATCAACTACATATCCATTACAATGCATTTTGAAAGCTTATCAAAAGACAATGCCCAATATGAAAAAGGATGAGTATGATGCCTCAAATGTTTATTGGGACTACTGAAACCCACAGACAACTTGAACACGATACGATCAGTTCATTATAAGCTTGGAGCACAGTAAACAAATAGCTAAACAGATAATTTTATTCTCAGTAGGTTCAACTCTCCAAAATTTCGGGAAATGAAATACTCGTACACTTCTGCGTAAGAAAGTCCTACATCCATTAATAGTTACTACCAGGGCTTGTTCTTAAATCTCATGTCCTCATAATTAAATAAAGCACGCCATGAATGAAACCAGACAGTAAACGTAGAAGAGACTAGCATCTTACTTTAGATTTGAATAATTTCACAAGGATGTGTCATATGAGAGAATAAATTCATGAAGCAAAATGTGTAAATCAGTTTTTTTTCGAGGAGAATGTGTATTTTAATACACAACAAAATGTGATGAATATGGGTTCAATGGTTAATTTAGAAAATTGCCAGGAATCTATGTGCAAGTTGTTATATGTCTATGTAAAGATTAATATTCAAACAGATATTAAGAGAAGTGTCCCTGCAAAATTAAAACCACGTACACAAAAAACAGGTCATAACCAATAGATAGAGAAGTTGCCACTTCAACCATTTTGCTCGCTTTTTATCTATAGCAACCAAATATCAACAATATATTCAAGATTTTTAATTCAAAAAAAATATCAATGTATAACAAGTGTAACTTATTTGTTACATTTATTAACTACGCATTTCAATCAGTTCCCACAAGATTAAAAATAATCCCATGAAATTTTAAATATAGGTTGCAGCCTGAAAGTAATTTGATAAGAAAACTACAATGAAAATTGGCAGAGAAATTTAGAAAAACAAATGTCACTGATCTCAACAACGATAGCTTATTATATTAAAACATTAATGCACCATCTATACTTCGAAATTCCTAACATAGCAAAACCAAAATTACGAAATATAATAAAAATGACAGCAAAGTCACAATATAGGACACATTGTCCTAAAGACAGAATATGTAGTTATTGAGTTCAGTTATTACTAAGAAACAAAGATTAAAGAATGCATTGTACAAAATTATAGTCAAAGGAAATGGAGAAGCATTACAAGGATTCTATGTAATTTGAAGATGCCTATTAAATTAGAAGTAAAGATATGTATAACAGTTGACTAGACCATCTATTTTTTATGGAACTAATTATTGAGGCGCTTAAGCATAAAATGCCCCTAAGATAGTAAGATGCATAGAATAGAAACGTGAATGTTAATTTAGATGTGGAACTATAATAAATGTATAAAAACAAAGAATAAGGCTTATTCCAATAAGTGTATGGAAAACCCGTTGAGAATTAATTAAGAATTGCAACTTAGATCATTAGGGAATTTCTTGTTAAAGAAACTCCCACACCATACTGATACACCCTAATAGAATGATAAGTTCCATTATGTTTAGTTTATTTATTTTATATGCATGTTTATCTTTTAGTTTTACTTTTGAATTAGTCAAATTAATGCCTCATTCATCTTGAGAAGTATTTCCTTTTGCTCAATAGCAGTATACTTCACCATTTTTTTCATGCACTCTAGTGGGTGCTCTAATGTTTGGATTTGTTCCTTGCTTTATTGCCCGCCTTTTATACCACTTGATACAACCTTGTTTCTATGGAGAGAATAAAGAGAAGTTGTCGGCTCGTTCAAGGGAGCCTTGATATTCATGGTTAGGTTTTCGAGGAACCTGAAGACAAACACTAAGGTTGGAACAAAATAATGTGATACCACTTTTATTGATATATACAAATACAAATCAGACCCACAACTAAAAGTAGTTGTTCCAATACTCCCACTATCCCTTCCACTAAATAGGATAACGCAACTGGATAACTCACTTAAGAGAGAAATAAGGTCTTATAAGTCAAACAACCCACTAACAACTAGTTAACTAATTCAAAACATAAATAAAAATAAAACTAATAAATAAATAAATATTAACTAAAATAAAAGGTAAAAGAACCCTTGTCGTCAAGGATGAATTTGATAACGACATTAATGTAACGTTCCCTCCCTTACAAAAGCACCATTATCCTCAAGGGCTGAAGCGAAAGTCCAGGCTCGTGAAGCAAAATTGACTGAGCAACATAACAGGAGATTGCTTTTAGTTAATAAATGGTGAAAGAAACATCAGAACTATTGGGTCACAGTGAAGGGGGGGTTTTGGATTTTATTAAGTGGCACGGGAAGTTGGTAATGACCATGGGAAGGGCTAATGCATTTGCTGCTGGAGAGCACTCAATCAAGGAAGGTGCCAAGTTCATGTGGGGATATGTTAATAAATTGGTGGGCAACCATTTGTAATTCAAGGACCGTCCATGGCCAAATTTTCACCATTAGAGGTAGTGTCTCAAGGCGCTAGTAAGATACCTATTTGAAAAACATTCAAGCTTTCTTTATAAAAGCAAAGAAAAAAAAATTAAAGCCATTATCAAAATTGACCCTTGATGACAAGGGTGTTTTCAAGGGAAGAGAAAATATTTTAGTTAATCATTGTTTTCTTAATTTATTTTATGTTTTTTGAATAAGTCAAATAGCATTAGTGGGTTGTTAGACATATTTTTCTCATACGCGAGTCTCCATTTGTAGTGATATCCTATTCCTTAGGATAGATAGTGGGAGTCATGGAACAACCACTTTAGTTGTGGGTTTAATTGTAATGCATTTAAGTACAATGATCAATGAAAAATGGGGGCAATTATTTTTGTTGCAAACAATATTGTTTTAGAGGCTTAGGTTCCTTGAAAACCTAACAATAAGGTCAAGGCTCCCTTGAATGAGCCTATATCTTCTTTCAATTCTCTCAATGGAAACAGGATCATATCATAGAACATGTAAGAAGAGGGAGACGTAAACCAGAGTTGACATTACTTAATATGATTGCAAAATACTTTATTTCATTTGACCTTTCAATAGATGTAGCACAAAATCAAACAGAGAGTCAAACAAGGGTTGTGAATTTATGCTTCAGCACCTATACCCCTCTCAATGAGCCCTTTCCAATATATGTTGTTTCCTAAGCTTGTTCAATTGAGGTTTCTAGTTATTTACTAAGCTAGCCAAACTCTTAGCCTCACTCAACAGACCTATACATGCTGAATGAGACAGACTTATATAACTGGCTTTCTGTTCTAGCAGTAGATACATTCCTTCTCCGTAACATTGTATCAAGGAAGTACACGCTGTTGTGATTGTCCTCTGATCTAAATTTAAAGGATAATCAATTTTAATTCTTTTGACCATTATGATAGGTAGGATTTGGTTAGGACCATAATTAATACTATTATTCTCTATCGTGTCCATAAAGAAATCTCTATTTGAGCCAGCTTGAAAGTATCAGCCATCAACTTTCTTTGGAGAAATATTACAACTGTAAAGAATTTGAGAATAAACAGCAATTTCTGCATTACAGGTATAATTTTCACTCTAACATGTACATGAATATAATAACAAAGTCCAAAAGTTGGATAACAGAGATTTAGTAGGACGAAAACCTGGCTCACCCAATATTGGACAGTAACAAACAATTTTCTAATGTGAGATTGGTCCTGCAAATGCTGATAGGGTTCCCTCACAATTATGGCTCCACATTCTCATAATCCCAAGTACTTGTGTTGGCTTAGCTGCAGACACAAGGAAAAATACCGGATATCAACATTTCACATTATTGCCTGCAAATGCACGATCAGTGTAATACAAAATACAGAGATTATACAAATGGAGACGAGGCAAGATTCTGGATGATGTGGCACCTCATAACCCAATTGAAATCATTTGGGAAGACATTTCTTATTGGTTGAAGAAACACATTTTTAAGATTGTGGATCAAAGTTTAGAGTACAATATTCCACAAAAATGACGTTAAGAATATTCAAACAGAAAAGAACAGAAAATTATTTACCAGAACAGCAAACAGTGAACTGATCTATGCATTCATAATATTCATAAAACAAATAATTCTCCAGCAACATATGCATATGATGACGATCTGCACAGGTGCAGACACTTATAGAGTGCACAATAGGCACATTACCAAGAAGATGGCAGAAAATATTTCAGGAGTTAAAAGGCTTTGTAGGCTACACCAATTGAAGTTCAAATCACTGAAACAGAAATCTCTCAATTTAAAGGTATAAATGCATCCACAGGGGAAAGGGAAGGAGTGAGAAACAAGTAAAGGAACTAGTTGCTATTTACCTGAGTTTGATCTCTGACATTCGAATCCCGAAAATCATCTTTGAGTTCACACAAAAGCTTTTTGTGTGTATGCTCATCTATGTGGTTCTTCTCCTGCAGCTCCTCCAACAACCTCATGGCATCGCCAACCTTTTTTTGTCGGCATATCTCATCAAATACAGTGCGATAGGTGATGAAGTCAGCTGACCTTTGGTTGTCACCCATCTCCAACAAGAATTTCACAGCTTCATCCACCTTCCCCTCAAGAGCCAAAGAGTTCACCAGTGAGTTGTACGATTTACAACTTGGGATGAATCCCTTCTCCTTCATTTTCTCAAAAAGCTCACTGGCATTGTTCGTTCGGCCTTGGGCACATAACCCGTGGATCAAATAGTTGTATGAAAATGAGTTGGGCTGGCAATTATAGACCACACCAATCTGATGAAATATTCTAAGGGCATCATTGACGTGAAATGAAATCACGTATCCTTTAATCATAGAATTCAAGCTGAAAATATCTGGCTCAACTCCATCATCAACCATTTGTTTAAACAGGCATCTAATGGTCTCCATATAAACGTGATTAATATAAGAATTCTTCCCTCTACTCAGAAGTGCAGTAAACAGTATATTGTAAGTTCTAATTGATGGCCTACAGTCGAACTTCCTAGCATCACGCATATGCTTGTATATGTTAATTGCCCGAATCAATTTTCGAGCTTCTATAAAGTAATAAATCATTGTATTATAGAGAGCCTCAGAACCAATATAAGGAATAGCGAGCACCTGGTTAACGACACCATCCATTTCTTGGTACATCTTGGCTGCCCCAAGCACCTTTATGGTAATGTGGTACGTTAATAGATTGTGCCGAAACCTGTGCTGATGTGAAGCCCAGTTGAAAAGCTCCAAACACACTAAAGGATCATCCTGTAACGTCATCACGTTATGAAGTTCTTCTGGGGTGAATCTAGGTGGGAGCTGGGATATTGCCCTTTGAAACTGGGCTTCATTTAAAACTGGTTTTGCTGCGGCTTTTTCCCTTTTACGGATTCTCTTTCTCAAGGATCTTGTCAGAGGTCCTCTGTATGTTCTTGTAGAATAAAAAGAAACCCATAGTTGTTTGGGGAAAGATGCATTAAAAAATTTAATAAAATTAAAACGGAACGGCGCTGTTGGGGATTTGGGAGGAGAGACCGAAGTTGAGTGATCGTGGATTGTGTTAGAGAAGGACGAGTGAGTCTGAGAGGTTATTACAGAGAGAGTATGATAGAAGAAAATCCTACTGGAGTAAAAATGTTGGAGTTGATTTCCGGGTACAATGAACATAATTAAAATAGAAATAAACAGAACATCTACTATAATTTTCTAGTGACGTGCGAGTCTGGCCATTGATAGAGCTTTCAGCAGATAATGATAATCGTTGCAGCGGAAAGTGGGTAGCGGTAGCGGTAGCGGCGGAAAGTGCAGACGGCGGCAGTGGACGTGGGTGTGGCCGTTCGGGTGTGGATTTTTATCTTGGTCATGTGAAAGTCCCTTGAACTTTTACTGTTGTACTCTTTGCCACCTAAATATTGATAATTGTAAATTAACCTCTGGTTATTAAACAAGTTTCGAATTGCCCCCTGAAGTTTCATTTTCTGATTATATTCTTCTCTTCTTTGGTCAATCAGTGAAGAAATGTAGGCCTTGTTAGAAGAACAAATGGAAGTCTCTACAATCTAGATAAGGAAAATTTTAGAGTTCTCCAATTTATGACTTTTACATGGAGTTCTCCTTCCATTTCAAAAGCGCTAACTTGACACGTTTAAAATAATGCTTCACTTGACGATGACAAACAATAAAATCTAAGAAGCAGGGTCTTAAGACGATGCCACAAAATTTGCAAATTAATGTTAGTATAACGTAAGTATATTTTGATTGAGAGGAGTTTAATGTACGTTAATGTTTGGTTTGCATAGCAAGGATCTACTAAATTTTGGTAGATTGTTGGATTTGAATTATTGAGGTAATAGTCGCGATCAACTTCACATGTTCATAGATGATTTAGATGTAGTACAACTAGCGTTGTCGCTATGTTTATCCATCGAGATATGAACATGAGCACTGCATGGTGAATTTAGATTTGACGCGAGTTTTTCTCTCTCTTTCTCTTTCCCCCTATTTCACGCTGAACTTTTAGCCTAGCCTAATGAGTAAAAAACAAATGAAATCTCTCAAAAATGAAAATTTTTGAGTGTAGATGTTGTTATTGTGGCATATGGTAATTAGTTTAATAGCATCCCATCTTAACCTCTAGGATTATGAATATTTAAACCACTGAAAACCCAAACCAAATGTGAGACAATAGGACAGGATGAACAAATTTGAGACCATATAATGTTATTATACAAGTCGATTATCTTGAACAGTAGATTAGCTACCATAAAAGTCACAATAGCAAGCTCTGCATTCAACCATTTATTATTAACATATTCAAGCCCAAAACTCTCTTCATACAACATGAATCCTATTTGTTCGATTTTAGTGATGGCAAAAAAATTGTCCCGTCCCACCCGCCCCCAACGAGTTGGTGGGGCAGGGGCGGGGCAGGGTGGGGAGGGGGTGCCCCACCCCGAACCCGCCCCGTGAAGAATAAAAAAATAATTAACTACAAATAAAAAACAAAAAAATAGTTAATTGAAAGTTTTAATAAATAAATAAATGGGGCAGGAAATGGGGCAAGTTCGCGCCCTCGAACCGGCCCCACCCCGTCTAAGGTGGGGCGGGGAGTGGCGGGACGGGGTGGGGGAGTGGCGGGGCGGGGCACGAACCCGCCCCGTTGCCATCTCTAGTTGGTTTCGATTTCAGCTTCAATTTCGAGTAGGGTCCGAACTCAACCCATGCTCAACCCCCTGCTGGCAACTTTAATCGGCACCTTTGCCCGTTTTGAAATAATGTACTAGCATTGTCCCTACTTTTGTTTACATCTTTTAGCCGTTTTTAGATAACGTATTGCACAATGCCATTCGCATCTTTTTTGTACTCGTCAAAAAAAAATCAAATTTTTGTTTTGTTTTCGTGATTACAAAAAGTATACATCAAAATATATTCCGTCTCAAAGTCATTATAGTGTTTGAAGGTTAAAAAAAAATGATTACTATTCGTTGGATGAATCATTTGGCTCGTTCACGAAGACCTAGACTCAACTCGGCCAATGGGTCCAACCTATCACGTGTCGAGTTGAGCCATTTAGGAGACTTATTTCATGTTTGAGGGCTATTTATAATCAATTAAATTATAATAAATAGAAATGAGGGTAAATATGAATAATACTTGTGATTTCCAAAAAATATGTGGATAAAAAATATTTTAATTGATTTATAAAAAACAAAAAGAAGGTTTAGGCTCATCGTTGACAAGCACGAGCCTCCATCGGCTGAGCTCAAATGAACCGGGCCAACAAAATTGTGAGGCAGCCTGCACCCATTGTACCACTGCTTATCCGAAATTGAAAGCTCCGAGGCATACGCGTCAACAAAAATTGAATGATACGTATCAACAAAAATTGAATGAGTACCTAATTTCTTTATTTGGAAAAACATGGGGACCCAACTGTAATACTCTCGATGTTGCGTTTCTAGGAGATAATTGTTCCAATGGTCACCAAACTTATGTTCATGTTTTCGTTTGCTTTACTGAAGTTTAAGATGTCGAGTTTTTGTCACTAAACTTTGAAAAACGTTAGACGTTACTCATCGGCTAACTTCCGTTTCAAATATCTAACGAAATTGGTGACATAGCTGACGGAATGCAGTAGTGGTGCATTGTCACGTTGTTAAACTTTGAGGTGGTCGAATTTTGGTTACTACATTTTGGAATACGTCTGCAATTGCTCACTAAATTTTTAAGAATATCTTCTACTACTCATTTCACTTTGACATAGTCGAATTTTAGCCACTGAACTTTGAGATTGTCGAGTTTTTGCCACAAAATTTTGAAAAACGTCTTTTATGCCTCACATTAGATTTGGATTTATTTAAAATTCGCTGTTAAAATTTGGATTTAATTTTATTTAACAACAAATTCATCGTGTGTTTTGTTATAAAATTCAAATCTTATGATGAAAATAGCTTAAAATTCAACAAAAATAAGTTAAAATTAAATTTAATTACTGCTTAATTGAATAATCATCCCTTGTAAGATAGACAATACTTGCAAAGATGTGCAAAGGAGGTGACTACTAGCACACGATATTGTTAAAATTAAATTAAATCCGAATTTGAGCACGAATTTTAGCTCCTGTTTAATGGCCATTATTTTTTAAAAAATAAAGTTTTAAATAATGATTTTTCGATAATGTGTAGTTAAAAAGTTGAAAAAAACAAATTAAGTTTATGTGTAAACCACTTTATTGTGTTAATTAAAGAGTTTTGTTTTGCAAGAAGATAAATAGATGCTTACTTAAATTCAAATTTATAGTGAACAATAAAATATGTTTTTTAAAATTTAGTGGTCAAAGTTCGACTAGTTCAAAGTTTAATGGGCAAAATTCGACCATCTCAAAATTCAGTTAGGAATAAAAGAGATTTTTCAAAGTTCAGTGACAAAAATTCGACAATCTCGAAGTTTAACTGTGTGACGGGACGCCACATGTACATTCTGTCAGTCATGTCACCAATTTTCAAATGAGCAATGTACAATGTTTTTCAAAATTGAATGATCAAAACTCAACATGTTGAACTTCCACTTTGACACGAGTTCGGACCATTGAAACAATTAACAAAAGTGCAGGAATGCAAAAAGAGCAAAAGCCGATCAGTGCGCACTCGCATTGTCCTATTAAACTTGGATTAATAAACCTCTACAAAAGGCCGACTGGCGAGTTGATTGTTTCAACAGTCACTCAACTTTACAAAGTGTCACGTTTCATTAACTGAACTTTAAGTTGCATCACATCACTCACTGAACTTAGTAAAGTTGCATTGTATTCATCATCGGACTAATTCCGTCAAAATCGGTTGCCTCGTGGATGAAGGTTTGCACACGTGGCCGTTAAATTAATCCAGGTGGCCGAGTTAATTGTTTCAACGGTCACTGAACTTTACAAAGTGTCAACTAACTAAATTTTAAGTTGCATCCCATCACTCACTGAACTTAGTAAAGTTGCACTCCATCCACCACTTGGCTAATTCCGTCAAAACCGGTTGCCTATGTGCAGAGGTGGACGCAGATCTTAAAAGTTAGAGTGGCACAATCGAACTTGCAAAGAACTCGGAAGAAATTTTACAATTGAAAATTTACGTCC